TATATATATATATATATATATATATATATATATATATATATATATATATTGCAATGTTTTTAGGACTTGAACCAACCCGGAAAAATTTTCGATGGAGTGAGCACGTGGCTGATTGGTCAGGACGTTAAGTTCACTAAAAAGGACCGGCGAGTGGTCAGTAGAGCAATCATTGAACTTCAAAAGGAATTCATGCGCAAGTCACCGTCATTGCAGCTTCACTTCTGTGAGTTATCTGTTCGTAGATGAAATTATTCATTGTTTAAATGATCATAAGGTTTGAAGTGATATGGTGTTAATATTTGTAAATAGCTCTGTTGCCTTGCCTTCATTACTCTACTCTTAACATGGACTGGTCAGGGGACTTAAGAAGTGCACTTCATTTGCCATGTGACACCAACTTTCAGTTCCAAAATTTCCATCAACGCAACAATTGAGAAGGAAGGGGCAAATTTAGAGATGTTAGAAATTCGTATGTAATATTTAGTTGCCTAGGCAAAATTGTGCTTATTCATTGGTTCAGAAAACATGGAACAAAGCAGTAATATTATAAAGAAATCGTTTTCTTATTGGCAAAGTCCCTTTTTTAATCGTCTCTTATGCGAAGCCGTCTTATGGGTTATTAGGAACTTTCGAATGGCTTCCTCCATCTTTCCTTTCTAGTTTGCTTTCAGCAGAGTTCTTTGAATGTGCCTGGAAATTTATTCGTGATTACTAGTTCGTTGTCTCCAATACTTTTATTCTCCATTATCTGACATGTGAGGTCTCTCGGAAACCAGGCGTCAATAAAGTGCGGTCAAAGGTACTGAAAGTCATAGTATTCGATCGCGACTGTGGTCTTATTTCCGACCACTTCTAGTCTGAGTTCACCAATGCTAATTAGGCAAGGCCATTGATAAGTTTCATGCATAAGTTTCTCTGTGGCTCTGAAGCTAACGGGTGTTTGATGTATCAATACATTTTCTGCACGGAGTTTTTTCGGTATCACAGTTGATGTAAAAGTCGGTATGTTGTTTCTACAATTAAGGAAAGCCCAGAAGTTTCATCCATTTCCTATCTACTTCAAGTCCTGCGACAAAACGATCTTGTTACTCTTCCGATTTTCGAAAGTGCTCCAATTTTCAGTAAAGACTATAGTGGAGACCGATTGACCTGTGCTGTCCTCATCAATTGTTTTCTTGTACTTTGCTTTTTTGCGTTATTTCAACGGATCATTTTAAATGTATATTTTGAGCGGTCTTCGACTACTTTATTAAACTGATGATGTCTGTTTCTGATACCTCAGAATGCCTGAAGCAGATGTTGAAATCACGCGGGAAGATAATGTTAATGAATGCATAGATTTGACTATTAAGTGTAATAGTGGCGTGGCTTAACAGAGCTCTGGTGGACACAATTATGTCAATCGAATTTCTTGTGAAGATGTGTGTTTTGGGGTGCTTCCACCTTATCCGTTTTTGTTTGAACAAATCTATTTACAAACTGTGTGGCAGATGAGAACATCAGAAATTAATATTCTGAACTAAGCCATAATTTAGAAAGAAGAGCATAAACTGTTCTCCCTCAATTGGAATATTTGGATTTAACCCATTGAAGCCCATTTCTGAAAAAAATGGTTATCATTAGCATTTTAGTTAACTCCTGTCTCCATAGAGAGGAGGAAGAATAGTAAAGTGGCAAAAAGTCGAGAGAGGGGACAGAATAATGATTCATAGATGTAAAAGAGACGGACAGCATAATGGCAGAGGAAAGGTAAGAGTGAAAGTAGTTTGGGGTCATGGTATTTTGAAGTCAGAAGTCAACTGCCAGTAAATAGACTTTGCCATATGAGATTACGTTGCCCAGTGTGCACTACGTGGAGGTAAGTCTATCGCACACCTCATTTCTGGTAACATTAGCTATTTTTCTGTTCCTAGCTGAGATGTCGTCTTGTAGATTGCAAAAAGTTGGTTCTTTGAATCGAATTTTACAACATTTAATAGTTTGTGCATATTCCATAACCAATTTTTCTTGTATTAGTGGAATGTTTTGGTCAAATTTGTGTAATGACAGTCATTTACTTCACAGCTGAGCGCAATTATCACATAACAACACACGGATCCTATTGGCAAGACCCTAACTTCGAGTCTGGTCACGAGGATGAAGAGACGGTGGGAGTTCTTCAGGAGGGGCCAAACCGACCTCGTCTTGAAGGCTATCCCAACTTTGACGACTGGGAGTTAGATCTGCGTTCTTCTGTTCGAATTGCTAGACGCTCTGCAGTTTGCGTTGTAGATGATCCAAATGATCCGCATCATATTAGCCTCTACCACACCTTCCAGAATAGCATGGATGCTCGAGATGATAATGAACTCTCCTCTCTTAAACTTCCCCATGATGATGTTGTAAGTTGTCTTTTTTCCTCTTTGGCAGAACTTATTTTTATTATAATATTTCTTTTATATCTAGAACCTGAGTATGGTCAAGAGGCTGATTGATTACTATCCCCAATCGGTTATTATCAATGAACTCGCTAGAGAATCGGAGGAAGAAAAGGTACTTGTTTTTTTGATGTCTTTAGATGTATTTATCCTCTTTATTAGCTTTGCTTTGAGTTTAAACTACTGAGTTTCCTTCAACACTTAAATCCTATTCTTGAATAAGCTCTCTTACGAGTAAATTTCTAACTATTATAACAACTCCATTGTTGCCGCATTCTCAACACTCGAATTTGCAGAGGATTTAAAACTCATATGCTACCCTCAATATTTCCATTGTTAGAGTCATCCTAAGGCCTCTTATGATGATAAGTTTGCTTTCCTTGATCAGAGTGGTCGTTCGTATTGTAATTCTTCACTGAACACGATCTGTTAGTCATCTAACCTCGCTGTTACACCACCAATAGTTTTGCTTTAATCCTTTTCCTGTATATTTTAGACAAATTTGGTTCATGAATTGTTTGACAACGGTGTAATTATTGTCACCTCACTATGGCAGCAGCATCTTTTTGGTGAAAATGAAGAGGAAAGTGTTGAAATGGAGGAAGAAGACGAAGAAAGCGATTCCAACCAATCTATTGACTTTGGCGAAGAATATGGCAGTCCTGGTGTTGAAAAAGTTGACCTTGATGAGGATGACGATAGCACTGCTGATATCAACGATTTGTGATAAATTTAACTACAATCGATGATTTCGTTTCCCCTGTATTATATTCGCCCTTATTTAGATTGTAGTATTTTTACTATGTAGATGCATTTCAAGCTGAAATTTGTCTTACCGCTTTTTCATTGGCTTCGAATGGTTTGTTTTATCTTTGAGAAGCAATATTGTTAACACACAAACAGAAGTTAGCCATTGTAGTTAACGGCATTATGCGATGGAATATGACATCTGTAAAATTTGACTTGACTTGCGCGGGTTGCTTTTGGTGGATCATCAATATGATTAAACTTCGTCAAAAGAATATAGCAATGAGCCACTTGTGTTACCAGTAGTCACGTATTTCCTTGTTTCATTGATATTGAACTTATCGACATAAATTCAATGAATAGCTTCTTTGTTAAGAGGCTCTATCATCATCTACGTGATATACCATGGACGTTGAAATTATGGATGATGAAATTGGTGGTGATTTTGTAGTTTAACTCATTGTGAATTGCCATAGATCAAGTGGGTCCAGAGATTCAAACTGGTCAAAAAGGTCAAAATCTTAAAATGATATTTTGAATACTTTTAACATGTAATCTATGTTGCTCGTTCTATTTCAAAACAAGAAATGGCCGCACCTGAACCGATATTAGACGCATGATATTAAGAGTGAAGTTTAACCTACTGCTAGTATTTCCCAGAATTTGAAAAGTCTGTTATGCTACTTTGATAAAAATGTGTCCAAAGTGATTTACTAAAATAGTTAATTGACCTAATTAAAGAAATTAAAAGTCAACTTTACAATTGTAAATAATATCTTACGGGCAACTTCTAGTGAAAAGCTAAACGCAATAAATGAAATTTTAAAAAAATTAAATTATTTTCTTTTATTGTGAAGCTAAGAATAATTATTACTATATATACATTAAATCACATCTACGACCAAGAGAACTAATGCATTTTATTTAGTCATTGTGTTTAAATAATCTAAGCAAGAGCCGAAAAGACCTTGGCAACTTTTAGTAGCAAAAGATATTGGTTGATTTTCGATGCTTTTGTTCATTCAATATAGGGTTTAAATTAACCAGTTAAGTTTTCAAAATTAAAATTTTTTGCTATAAGTAAAGATTTTCAAGGTATTTAATAATGATCTTTTTTAGCATTTTATATTTCAGTAATTTTAATGGAGGTGTTTGAATTATTTATGAACTTTCTTATGTAATATTGTTCTAGTGATTTATTTTTATTTGATTGTAAATATTCTGCTTTTCAATTATTTTAGGCAAGTTAATGCTGATAAATTATTTCTAACACGTTAGGAATTCTTTTAAAATGGCGGTTTCATCTATATTATTACTGGTAACCGTCATTACCTCTTGGAACCTTGTATACTCACAAAATAGCCCTGGAAACTATTTTAATTCTCCTCAAATTTCCCGTGACAAGTCTCCTGTCTTTTCTATTGGCTGCGATTGCTTTTCAGTTCCTGACTGCTTTAGTAACTGCTCCGCTGGTATGTGTATTATAAATTGGTTATATTCCATGCTTTCAAATTTTTATTTTATAATAATGCTGCAAAATCATTCATTAATTCAGTCCTAAATTTCTCAACCAATCATTAATTCTTCCATTCCATTGAAAATGAATTATTAGTTATAGCGCACTCGTCCGTATTTTTTCATATTTGTGAATCTAACTTCCAATCTCCTTTTCAATAGGTGTCATTTTAATGACATACTTCCTTAAATGAATTCTATTTTGAGTTCAGTTTGTGGTTCGCTTGATGTAATTGACCATGGCTCGCTTTCCGTGCTTGCACGTCCAGAAATTCGGCCATCGAAATGTTCGCAAACATCAAAGGTTTTCGGATGTGTCCGATAACATGTGCATACATGTCTCGGCTTCGCACTCGTGCAACTTATAGGCTTTCGGCACACAAACTTGCGTCTCTATCATTTTATCACTTCATTCTTTTCTTCAGGCTTTTAAAATATTTTTTCTTTTGTTTTTTTTCTGAACTTCTTACTACATATATGACCATGACTCGTTTTGCCAAATAAGTTTTTAACTTATCGATAATTCCTTAGTTTGGTTGTATCTTATAATATAAATTTCTACTGATTGCGTAACCAACACGTTTTATTCTTTTATGCATATTCATTCCCTCCTCAGTGTATAATCATTTGTCGTCCGGCGCTCTGTCCACAAAATTACACGATGACGGATTTTCATAAAAATAGTTTTAAAACCATTCCTAAGCTTAGTTATTAGTGAAGAGTTTGAAAATTTGATATTTCTCAACAAATTGACCATTGAAATTTTTTTACCCTTTCATAAGAATTTTTTTCCCAATTCTTCCCTCTTCTCTGTGCAGCGACCAATGCCTGAACTGCGTATAATTGATAAACCACTAGCCAATGAAAAAATGCTTCCGCCTGAAAAATACCAGATGAGAATTAACAGCACTCTCTTTCAATACGTCGGTGGCTTGGCGAACAACTTGCATAGGTTCAGTGTCCATTGGGGTACATTGAAGGAAAGGTTATGTAGAGGTAGCAAAATGAAAAATATAAACTTCAGGATTCATTTTAATATGAAAAATAGAATAAAAATTTTGGCCTAATTTTCAGATAACTGTTTTTTTACTTTTTTGCTTATCAGATAAACTCGATGAACTCAAAACTGCCATTTCCATATATCATATCATAACTTCTACTCTTCATTCAAGCTTTACTGAAATTTGCTACGTTTTTCTATACTCCGCTCTCTTATGTTCGTCCAATTCCTGTGATGAAACACAACTCTTGATTTTCAAATTTAGAAATCTTTTCCTATTGACAAAAAAAATTTTCGTCTGATTTAGAAAGAGATATATCTACCTACCAAATATGTTTGGATCCCCAAGGAGGGCCGAATGAATGAACTTAGGGCTAATTTTAACTAAAGAAATTATATTTGCAAACATTGGTTTATCGGTTATAACAGTTGATTTTATAACTCCTTGAATTAATAAACATTTTACACCTCGTTATTGTTCATATTATATTTAAAAAAGTGGCTCAAATTTGTACTTGCATTTGAATTTCTTAGATTTTGGTGGGTTCTTTTAGATTTATGGTAGATATGTTCTGCATAAACTACAACTTTGTGCGTAATCAATTAAATGTACATTTTTATCCTCTGGGGTAAGTTCAATGGCGTTGACCTCTGATTAATTGCTCGCTTAGATGGTTCCCAAAACCATAATCCTAAATAGATCCAATCCCAAAAGCTAAGAGAACATTTTATTACCTCCAAATGTGTCCAAGTTCAAACCTTAATAAGACGGTTAATATGTATTATTAACTCCAAATGTCAAATTTGCGTAAGCCAATCAAATAATGATTACTTTAGATTACTCTGGCTAATCTAGATTAAAGGTTAAAAAACTGTTCGTCCTAATTGGCTTATAAAACACAATCTAGTGATAAAAAGTCCTATTCCTGATTACCGGATTAGGCAGGCGCTGGATTTTTTTGCTATTTGGCTGTAGCCAATTAGAACGTAAATACGCTACTGATGGAAAATGAGGTAATTAATCATAGGTTGTATATTTTCCGAGGCATATTATTACTTCTGTCTATCCTATAGCATGTGCGAAAATGACGATTCGTAAACACTTATTTTCGATGATCAAATCATCTTAAATGGTCGGTAAATAGATCTAAACGGCGGCAACTATAAATTTAATATGCATATATTGTAGCCTTTTCTTGCATCTTCTCAATCTAAACTCTGAAAAAATATGCTTCTTTTGATTTGTAAAAAATTATACTGGGCTGATTCCTGGTGGTAGGTAATATTCGGTATTTTATTAGCTATTTCATCATTAAAGTCCAATGATCAGTCTCAATGCATTCTCAAAGACAATAACCTTGGTTTTAATCCCGGATGTTTTCAATTTGATTGGTTCATTCATTAAGCGAAGCCTACTAGCTTTTCTATATATAATTATCGATTTTTGTATTAACTCGTCTAAGAATGGATCCAATAATCCCTTCTTGACTGAATCGCAATTTTTATCGATTTTTTCACGTGCATATTAAGCGCCTGCTTCCTTTTTACAGTAAGGAGATAAATTAGCGTGGATTTAAGAGGCTTATTTTAAATGGTAAATGTGCGGTTTAAAAGCGGCCACCTTTTGAGATTGGGCACAGATGTCGCCTATGTGGGCCTCATATAAATTTATGCCTTAGTCGAAATTCTGTGCGTTCATATGTGCACATGTGTAGAAGTGGTGATAGGCCGAAATCGAAGAGGGTAATTAGTCATCAGGTCTACCTATCTCCTCCCATGCCGTCTTTTTATTGCGCGCTTGCGTGCACAAGGAAAGATGCCTCGCAGATGGAAGTTGTAAAAGGTCAACAAGACTGCATCTGTTACTGAAGCTAATGAGCGCGAGAGTGAGAGAGAGAGGAGAGGGAGAACTGATAAAAGAAGGGCAACTAGAACAGTGGATGAAGTAACCTCCTGCGCACACACACTCACAGGTGTTTCGCAATCGCGGGGTCCATATCACTTTCCGTTTTATGTGAAGTGGAGGCTTTTGTTGCAATAAATTGGTATTGTGAATGCATCCCTCTGCGAACGCTAAATGTCATCTTCACTTTGGCATTTAAGTGCGGATAAATAAATATTTTGGACTTCGGGGAAAATAAATACTGATTATCTTGCACCGTTAGAGCTTAGTGATCAATGAAATTCAAAATAAATTATTATTATTCCCATTTTTCGAATATTCGTTATGGAACCTAGGTGGTTATTCTTCTCATTGAATGAGAAACTGCCTCTTAATTCATTTTTGCTTCCATGGATGTCTAATCTGAATACAGAGGTCTTGGACACCTCGGAGCCAATTTTTTCATAAAGTATTGGGGTATCTCTAACCGAAAGTTCCATTCCTTCTTCTTTTATTGACGCACAAAGGTGCGGACAATAAAAGAATTGAGTAATGGTTGATGCGCTAATCTGCAATGTCAGAGTTTACGAGTCCAATGACCTCCGGGGCAACCAAAGACCCTACCACACTGATTAGATCCGGTTAATAAAAGGGGAATCAGATTTGAGCTTTTCCTCAGGAGGGGGGAGGGGGGGGGGTTCCATGATGCTTCTTTCTACCCTTGATGAGTTTTGGGAAATAATTTTCTAGATGGACTTGCGTGTCATCTATAGATATCAAAACTACAGAACGCATTTTAGATATTTGCCCTTTGGCAAAACATCCAGTTGATTGACTGTTTAACCTCATGGAATGATTTCCCAAATGATGGTCCTACGTGGAGTGAGCCTTTACAACTCCAGACTTCTGCTTGGCATATGAATACGCTGAACCTTCCAGTTAGGAGTGAAAATCGTTAATCGAATATCACTCCAGGTCAAAAGAATTCATTGTAGGACACGTTTGTCAATATAATCTTAAATGCTGTTCGATATCTTGCTTTTCTCAAATGAAATAAAGAAAGTTTTTATAAACTGTTTTCATAATGTAGTTTCGACATTATTTTTCACCTCTTACTCTGAAAAAAAAAATTTTTAAAAGTTCAATCAGTCAGATTTAAGAAAATATAGAATAATTCTTTTTTTATAACAAACCTTTTTTTAAGGTGGAGTTTATCCCCGAAACAATTAGCAGTTTCTCTTAAAAGAAAATCATCGAAAGCTATCACCTCCAGACGAAATAATAGCATCTAATCTTTGAAATTCTAGGCGTAGATATCAATAATTCGAATTCGAATCCAAGATCATAAGGTAAGAATCCGTGATAATTGAAAAAAAACCAACTATGTGGTATGTCCATTTATCAGGTTCCAGCTCTTTTCCCTTATACTTGACGTATGAAATTACTTACCATTATTAAGACCCAGCGATTATCGATTTTTACATTTACGTATGGCGGATTTGTTTCATCACTTAGTAACTTCACTTTGTGCTTATACTTTCGTTGAAATTTCCGAACTGTCTCTTTCAGTTCCAGATTTGTTGCCATTACTTCGAAAATCGAGTCAATTTCTTCAAACTTTCCCGAGCCCCTTCACTGTTACCAAACCACAACAATTCCGCAAACGGAGTTTCAAGTTTGATACCTCAACAGCTAACAAGAGAGTAAGTAATTGTTCTTTATGAGTTGCCTTAAAAAGATTACCTCCATAATGCTTGAACACAAACTGGCATCGTGATTGATTTTGAATGATTTAAATGGTTCATAGCTTAAACGTGAAGATACTGGGTCGTGATGTTCCATTAGATGCTTGTATTTGCTTTTCTGAATTTCTGAGGAAATCCTAGAGTCTCGCTACTAGATTCAAACTTTCTGGATCGATTGACAATAAGACGTTTTGCTCACAAAATAAACGCCTGTTTTCTGATTGTGCGCAAATTTTCAAATTGACCGGTACGCCACCGGCTCGCATTTATCTGTCTAACTTTTACGAATGTGCTTCTACATTTGTTTATCCACTCTTTTTAGAGATTTCATTCACATTTTTCCTACTTTATTTGTATTATTTGTTATTTTCACATCGCGTTATTCGACATTTCACTTCTACTTGCTTCCCGCTTTTTACCTACAGTGACTTGAAAATAGAAAGTAAATTTTTTTTCATCTTGTTTGTAAGTTAAGAAAGCTCC